AATCAGAGCAGACTGCGCTTGTCGGAAGGAGGGACTTTGTAGAAAACGAAGCGTTTGAGAGAGGCGGGGCATAGAGGACCTACAATAATGTACAGTATTTGAAAAATAATGTGTTTTTTGAACATTAAAGCATGTCAACATATTCTGTTACACCAAATACACAAAATAATGATCTTTAAAAAAGCATCATATGACCCCTTTAATCACTGTCGGTTTGTTTACAGACAGGTCAGGTGTCAACTCACCTAGACACATATCAAAATCCCATGGTAGTATTCTGTTATCTTGTAAGTACCTTATAAATATGGTATCACCACCACTATAACTTTTAAGGCTAGATGGCATAAAACTACTGGGCATGCGCACATCAACATAGCGTATGTTTTCTCACACTGTACAACAATAATTACTATTTTTGCATTTTTGAAAGGGGTAGGTTTAGGGTTGGGGTAGGTGTAGACGTTAATAAAACACAATCTAATAAGTAAAAAATTCAATTTATTGTTAGCTTCCGGTTTTTGCCTTCTAGCCACAACCCCACTATACCATAGCAGCCCACTTTTATAAAGGAAACCATGAGTGAAACATGAGCACACGTTATAATGTGACTGACAGTGTTTGACATCTTACCTGCGTGTGTATTTGAGACTGGAGCAGCTTGTGCGAGACTGGCAAATCCTAGTAAACACACACCTCCACGAAGAGCCTCCATCCTCACCACTGCAGCTAATCCACTACCTCAACTACCCAGAAACAGCTATTACATCTAAACAGATAACGCCCGAATTGGCTCATCTGTGTCTATGTACATCTATATCGTTATATCCGCCGTGTCAAAGACGCATGTTGCGTGATATTAGTCATATGTCGCGTTATGAGCGCTAGCTAACACGACAGTGCTGTGATGTTCATGAAGCTAAGCTAATGCTAACCGCTACCGGCGTCTTATTTGCGATCATGTCTCATCGTTTAAAACCGCTCGTTCGTTTACTACCTCTCTCGGACGATTAAATGTGAGGATATGTCTTTTCCACGCGGCGGTGACAGAAACTGACAGCGTTCAGATGGCCGGCCGTGTCTTTGGCACTGAGAGAGAACAGGTTTCGATCATGTCGAGCAATGCTAAAGCTGTGTTAGGAGGAAACCGTGGAACTGTCACAACATCCTGCAGGATACTGAACCATTTGATTTGTATTATTATAGCACATAAGTCTATTTTTTTTTATATATATATCTATATATGGGAGAATAATTATTAGTATTATAAATCCCATTTAATAATAATAATAATGATAGTATATATATATATACATACGGTATAAATGCATATGTATACACTCACACACGCACACACACTCTCACACACTCTCACAAATTGTAAAAAGTGTACTGATACCCAACTTGTGAATGGTGTATCATGGTTTAGACAAAAAGATGAAGCAACACACAGCACCATAGCTTAATTTAATAACAGCAGAAGAAGGAGTTGTTACAGAATACATGAGATGTATGAAATAAAAATGAAAATGGTATGAAAAATAGCTTTTTACATCAAAAGTATATGACATTTTGCCCTCTCACTATTGCTCCTATATCCACACTATACTGTATCACCATAGCAACTCACTCCCAAAGCCTTTTCCTTATGCAGTGTGTTCACCATATTTAAAGGGATCATATGACGTTGCTAAAAAGAACATTATTTTGTGTATTTGCTGTAATGAAATGTGTTTATGCGGTTTAAGGTTCAAAAAACACATTATTTTCC